AGAATAAAATCTTACCACTTGAGAGGGCCTTGAAGAAGTTAGTGACCTCAGGGGAAAGCCTAGTTTCTTTTAAAAGAGGTTGTGGGGCTAGTCAAATTTGTTGATCAGAGGACATGTTTTCCGAGTACACAATGGAAGAGCTTTAGAAATGAATAAAGGAGTTCAGGCTAATTTATACAGAACAGGAAAATACAGAGCTTCATGTGAATGTTGATGCAAAACTTTTTCCATAAAAGGCAAACAGAAAATAATTTTGGTTTTGCAAGCCATAAGGTCTCTGTAGCAACTCTCTCAGCCTTGCTGTGATAGCATGAAAGCAGCCATAGAAAATATGTAAATGATCAAGTGTGGCTGTTTTACAAGAAAACTTTATGTACAGTACTTAAATTTGAATTTCATATTTAAATCTATCACAAAATATGATCCATCTTTTGATTTATTCTTCAGGAATTAAAAATGTAGAAGCCATTCTTAGCCTATAGGCCACACAGAAACAAGCTATGGACTGGAATTGGCCTTTGGACTGTAGTTTGCTAACTCCTGCAGTAGAGAATCTTTTGAGGAGAGTGTGTTGGGGAAGTGTAAGTTGCGGCTTATGCTTCCAGGTGTTAACTCATAAAACCGTATTAAAATGTTTCAAGGTTCTCTGTCTTTGAGAAGAACTAACATTTTTGGGGTCTAATTGGCTTATCAACCTGGTTCACATGACCTGCGGTGATGTTGGCCTAAGTATACTCTCTCATCTGAACTGAGGTAGTGGCAACCCAGAGGTTCTGGCCGTTCCAGGAACTGCAAGCTCTGTACCAGATATGTCTGGAGATGGAGTTGACTCCCAGATCTGTAAACAAGTAGATTAAACTGAAAAGATTGTGGACTATTTCTTCCCAGGTACTTTTCAAAAAGATTCTGGTTTTACAGCATGATGATTTAAAATTTTAGTATCAGAAGAGTTTCTAAAACTTAAGCTGTATGTAATTAACAGGCCAGGTGCAGTGGTTCATGCTTGTAATCCCAGCATTTAGGGAGGCTGAGGCAGGAGGATCACTTGAGGCCAGGGGGCTTGAGACCAGACTGGGCAACATAGCTAGGCCCCATCTCTACAAAAATTAAAAAATTAGCTGAGTGTCTTGTGGTACATCTGTTGTCCCAGCTGCTTGGAAGGCTGAAGTGGTAGGATTGCCTGAGCCTGGGAAGTTGAGGATGCAATGAGCTGCGATCATGCCACTGCACTCCAGCCTGGGTGACAGAGCAAGACTCTGTCTCAAAAAAAAAAGGAATTAACAAAATGTGAATTTGTAAAAGTAATATTTTAACAAGCTTAACAGGTACAGTAGTGGAAATGCTATTTTAATTAACCTTAATATTAGAGCAAGATGACACCATAATGTACTTTTCAATTGTAAATCATAAGAATGACCTTACAAGTAGAAGCTTCATTTCAGGGCTTTTGACAGAAACTTATAGTGATACTAATTCATACCACTGATAATTTACTCTGAGAAAATAATTACTGAAGGCTGGCATTGCTTAAATACTGCAAAGATTTTTCATTCTTCAAGTAGGAAGGAATGACAGTGTTGCTCACGCATTATTAAATTTTAGTATTTGATTTTCTAATGCCAGTTTTAAAACTCGTTTAACTCTTAAAACTTGCACAAAGGTTTGGTTTGCACACACATTTTTACTGATGTTTTAGCTCAATGAAAAGGGGAGTCTTTGAGTTAGAAAATGTTGTAACCAGTCAGAATGTCTATTATGAAAAGTCAAAAAAACAACAGATGCTGGCAAGGCTGTGGAGAAAAGGAATGATTATATACTGTTGGTGGGAATGTAAATTAGTTCAGCTACTGTGGAAAGCAATATGGAGTTTTCCCAAAGAACTCAGAATTATCATTTGACCCAGCAATCCCATTACTGATTATGTATATCCAAAAGAAAAACCATTCTGCCAAAATGACACATGCACTCGTATGTTCATCACAGCACTGTTCTGAATAGCAAAGATATGGAATCAACCTAGGTGCCCATCAAAAGTGGATTGTATAAAGAAAATGTGGTACATATGCACCATGGAATACTATGCAGCCATAAAAAAGAATGAAAGTATATCCTTTGCAGCAACATGGATGCAGCTGGATGCCCATGGTCCTAAGCAAATTAATGCAGGAACAGAAAACCAGATACCACATGTTCTCACTTATAAGTGGGATCTAAACATTGGGTACTCATGGACATAAAGATGGCAACAACAGACACTGTGAACTACAGGGGGAGGGAAGGAGGAACTGATTTTTTTAAGACTCAAAGGCAGCAATATTTAAAATAATTTTAAAAAATTATTGAAATTTTGCTCGAAGTAAATGGGACTACCTTCAAGTAGATTATAGTTTTACTTAGTTTAATTGGTAAATTGTAACTTTAAAGGATACTTAGATATTTGAACCTTCACTCATAACTAGGAAATATAAATTGTACCAAAGGACATCATTATACTTTTAAATACAGTAATCACTTCATAATATTAAGCTTCATAATATTAAGAAATTGAAAACTGAACACGAGGACTGGAAAGATAAGTAATGTGGGGTTGTAAAGAGGAGATTATGTCTTGCTTAGGGTCTATAAGACCTACTGTAGATCCTTAATAGTATTCAGACATGATTGGCTAAGGAGCAATTTGTGCTGAATTATCTCCCTTGAGTATTTCTGTCACTGAGAGTGGTGGTGAAAGTGATCCATTTTCACTTTCACTCCAGTGACAGGAGAATTTTGCCAGTCAGACACCAACTGTGTTAATTAGAGTATTAAAATAAAAACAAGCATGGATCCCGTGCCAGTGTCAGTCAATATGTTCCACTCCTCTTTTTGTTTCAAGCCAAAAGAACACTCTAGTTTCTTTTCCTGATACTTCTTTCTTATATTTTGAACATTGCTTTCCCAGCATCTTTGGTAAAGACTGAAGTCCATGGGATGGGGATCCTGGATGAACTTGTGGGCAGTAGTTACTGAAGAAACTGACCCACAAGAGTAAAAAAGAAGGCAGGAAGAATAACCAGGGTTATTTAGAGAATCACTAGGTTGTTACATTCTTTGCAAGCACTTCGTTATTGAACCAGGTAAAGCATTGATGTTGTGAATGATCTTTTCCTCATAAATTAGAAAGCTCAAGAATATTCCTACCTGGGGGTGGTGGCTCATGCCTCTAATCCCAGCAATTTGGGAGGTCGAGGCATGTGAGTCACCTGAGGTCAGAAGTTCGAGACCAGCCTGATCAACATGGAGAAACCCCGTCTCTACTAAAAATACAAAAAATTAGCTGGGCAGGGTGGCGCATGCCTGTAATCCCAGCTACTGGGGAGGCTGAGGCAGGAGAATCACTTGAACCTGGGAAGCGGAGGTTGCGATGAGCTGAGATCGCACCACTGCACTCAAACCTGGGCGACCAGAGTGAAACTCCATCTCAAAAAAACAAAAAACAAAAAACAAAAAAAACTGTAACATTATTCCTAATAACGAGCAGGTATGCATTCTTGATTGTGAGAAAAACAGCAGCAAAACATTGCTCTGAATTGCTCAATGCTCTGAATTGCAGCTAGTGTACAAGAAACATGCAATGCTATGAATGGCCATGGGAGCATGTGGTCCATGGGGACATGATTAGTTATGTATAGGAGTAGAGTAGAATAAAGGCTGAGAACCTCTGGTACATAGAGCCTAAGGAAGACCAATTTGTCAAATTGAGTTGTCAGGTAAATATTTACCTTTAATATTCAACCTGTCTTTTGATAGAGCAACTGTATAAACCAAATCAGTCACAATGTTTGAAAGCTGTTCTATAGGCTGAAAGGAAAGTTCAACTTTGCCTCTATATAAACACTAAGCTATTGAAGTACGTACATTGTCACAAAGCTACTGAATGGTTAAGCTAGGACTAAATTATGGGCTCCAATAATAAAGTAGGGACAGAAGTGAGCAAAAAGAGGCAGGTAGTATCAGCAGCTGAAAGATGGTTTGAGCAGTTGAAAGATGTTTTGTTTACTATAATCATATTAATATAATTCACATTGTCCTTCAGTAGTAGTTCTTGGTTATGGGAAAGTAATATTATAGCTGGGAATAGTAAAAAATGGATGGCAGAGCCCTTTCAATTTCAATTTGGAAAATATTTTGTATTTTTAGATGAATATGGTGAATTTCATGTTTTGGAAGTTACTACTGAAAACCTAATAACAACCTGCCTCAGGTTACCTGACACTCCTCAAACCCCTTCTGTTCCCTTGATTTTCCTCACCTTGTGAGTAGAACTTTCTTTCCAGCTGAAGCATGTTTAAGTCTTCCTTGAAGTTGGAAAGATGATTGCCACATTGGGTTCAAAGGGCTACATGTAAAATAACAAGAACAGGTCATGATATTATAATATTTAAGAAGAGTGCATATTAGAAACCATTAAAGGTAAAGTCCTCGAGACTCATATTCATGGAAAACCTGAAATGTGATTTATTCAGTTCAGTTTTTAGTACCCAAACAACATAAGTTATCAAGGTGAACTGTGATCAGACTATTTTTATAATTTATTTTAGGACACTTGGAAAACATTTAAAAGCTAAGGAAAGTAGGTACTTAAAATCTAATTTAAAAGGTAATATCCTCTCATTGTGAAATAAATGGAACATACAGAAAGTTGCAAGAATAAGACAAACATCCCTCAGAGTTCTAAAGGTCTACCATTTATTAAATAATAGATAACCAGTATTTAATATTTGTTGCATCTTCTTTCTTTTTTACTGATACTTGTGTGTTTTTTACACACACACACAAGTACAATTAGGATGTAACAATTTTAACTGCCTTTAAATTTCATATATTAGAACATTTTATAAATCATTAAATTTTATTTTATAATATAATTTTTAGTAACTGTGTAGTATAGAAAGGAGTTTAAATGTATATTCAGTTTAACTAGAGTTTACTAAATTATTTATAATTTTTTTCTTGCACAGGTTTTAGATACTTGTACAATGAGAATGAATCTAAATTTACCAGCCAGATATTTTTATGATTTGTATGGCAGAAAAATTGAAGATATTTCAAAAGGTAAGTGGCAGAGATTTTGTAAACCATTTGATAATATTTTGAAAGACATTTATATTTTGTTTTTACTTTGAACATTTAAAAGAAAAACATATAATAAAACATGTTTAATTATAACATGGATAAATATTCTTATACAAAGGGAAATCGTGAAAGGACATTAAGATTTTAGGAATTTTTTATTTCAAAACAAGTTTGGAGTTTTTAAAAAATTGACGGGTATTTTAACCTTAGTAAACCATAATTAAATAAAAGTAATTAATACATTTTTATAATGTTATAATGTAACAGCCAATTTATATAGGATACAGCTTTCCAAAGACAAAAATAAGAAATTGCATTACTGTATGATCACATAGAGGTTTTAAAACTGTTTTGGTCAACTTCTAGAGCTTTTTCAAAAGTTATGAAATGTAACAAATGTACCAAACTAACTGTAGTTCAGTTTGGAACCACTAGGAAGAACTCCAATAACCCATTACTCTCTACTAAGCGTGTATATCAGCAGTATGCTGGTAAATGTTATCAACTGACTCTGGAAAAAAAAAAAGGCCTCGATTTGCAGCATTTAGCAACTTCATGGTGTAGGTGCTCATACCATGACCAATTTCAAGCTACCACTGAATGCAGAGTTCAGAGGGAAGGGTTTTAACTCACTGAATAAAGTATTTGGAGAAGAGATGAGAACAATTGGCTTTTGCAGACTAGTACAAGTTGGCTCTAGCACATCAAAGTATATATCCCTTGTCACAGAATTGACGGATTAGGAATTAATTTGACAGTAGGGAAGTTCACTCACTAGGTTCTTGCATTACCAACTCTACTACTATGTAGTACTTATTCTGGACCAGGCACTATTCTAAGCTCATCACAAATATTAACTCTTTTAGCTCTCAGAGAAACTATAATTCCTATTTATTGCAGTAACTGAGGTACAGAGAACTTAGGTAATTTGCTCAACATCACACAACTAGCAAGTGGTGGAGTTGGGACGCAAACCTTGGCAGGCTGGCTCCAGTAGCAGCGCTTTTAACCATTGTACTCTGTTCTCTCTCTCTCTTTCTGCCTCCCTCTCTCTTTCCACTTTAGTGTCTCGTCTATGTCAGAACTCCATTTGTTTTCCTAGTACTTTCCATACAGGATGTAATTATTGTATTGCTTTGTTACTTTTTTGTGTATATGCACGCTTCCTACCAGACTACAGACTTCCTGGGAACAGGCACTCAATAAATAGTACTTGGATTTTTGAATGAGTCTTATGTCACTCTCCCACATGATCTGTTTCTACCACAATGTAACGTAAAAGAGGGCAAGAACAGACGCTAGCTTTGTTGTAATACTAGTAATAAGCACAGTGCCTGGGACATAGCTGACACTCATAAATGTGGCATGAATGAATTAAACTGTCTACTCTTGGACCTTTAGTTGGTTCCACTGTTATACTATTAAAAGTAACTCATCTTCAGTCAAGAAAAAAAAGTTATGAATTGTACTTTAAAGTAATTTCATTTTCTTTGTCCAAAGAGATTAGATATCCATCTAATATCTCTAAAGGTACTGTTTTGTTTTGCTAGCCTCATTTGTGAGTTTAAATTTCACATTCATGAGTTTAAACGTGTTATTGAAATGGTCCTATAATTTCATTCAAACTTTAACTCCATGCTTGGTGAGGGCAGGATATTAAATAACATGCCTTTAACTGCGAGGGTAGTGATTCAAACAACTGAAGTGATTTTGGGATGTGGCTACAGCAGATACTTCCATTTGTTTCCCATTTTCTCACTTGTACTATATAAAAGCAGACTGTTTCCTTAATTTATCATCCTTCATTAATACTTACTGAATGATAACTATGATATTTTGATACTTATTGTTTCTAAGTCAAATTTTTTGGCCAAGGATTACATATGTGTGTATTCAGAAAGTAAATTTGTTTTTCTTGGCCTTTTAAAAAATGTTTTTATTAGGTATCATAACTATTTTTCATTTTATTACATGTTTTTATCTGAAGATTTCAAATCTCCTGTAGATACCTACCCGTTATCTAGAAGGATTAGGTAAGGTTATTTATCTGCAAAACATGTAACACAAAAGAATCCTTCCTTTTGTTCTTTGGGGTTAATAAGAGTGTCATTATTAAAGCTGATTTGTTTCTTTCTTGCATTTTTGTCTCCTCCTCCATTCCTCTTGCTAAGATTTTCTTTATGATCAACAATATTTTGAAATTACTCTTAAACTAACATTAATAAAAATAAACAACATATTTTCTTAATACCCTATCTAGACTTGAATTATTTCCAGTTCACCTGGAATTAAAACATCAGATGTGAATAAAATGCTAGAATTGAAACTAAGGAATCTTCATTAAGATGAGATTTATATTTAGAAAGTTTATTTTTCTCCTCCCAAATATGGTATAGCAGCATTACGTATCAAAACAGAAAAGCACTGACTCTGAGATGTGATACTTCATGGATGCCAGAGGCATTCAGATTCATGCCTCATTCTTCACATATCCCAGAAGTGTGCTATTATCACATTTTAATGCATGCCTTGCCCTCTGTTTTTGCATCCTTGTAAAAGCTTATGCCAGGTGAAATTAGCCTGTGCAACCACTAACATGTGGAAGCATTACAAGTTCACTGGACTTAAAATATTTAAAGAAGCTAATCCTGTTGGAGGAACTTCCAGTCTGTAGCGCCCTAGTCACTTAACATTAGGTTTTTGAACTTCTGTTTTCTTTGTTTCTATGATGTTGTGCATCAAATGATTGAGGTCCCTAAACTTTTGTGTTTGATGGTCTTCTGGACTTCAACTTGGGAAAGGTCAAGTTTTATGTGAAAGTTGTCTTTTAATTTAAACAAATAAATGCTGATACTCTTGATTTGATGTATATCTCTTTTTTTTTTCTTGCTTTGTATCAGATCAGAAAAAATCTTTTAATAATGTCTAACGTTAAGATCATAGCAATTGCTTTTTATTTATAAGCACAGATTAGAACTGTAATTGTACCAAGGACTAAAAGCAACAGATACACAAAATAAAAATTTTCTCCTACTTATTGCTTCTTTTTTGGAATTAGATATACTTTCAAGTTTTCCTTCTATGCTGTGATAAATAAGCACATTTGATATAATATTAAACTACTTTTACTTTGTCAAGTAAACCATGGAAAAGACAAACAGGATTGGCAAATTGCTTGTTTTTAGATTTTATTCTAAACCATAGACAATTTTTTTTTCCTGAGACTGTGTCTTGCTCTGTTGCCTAGGCTGGAGTGCAGTGGTGCAACCACAGCTCACTGCAGCCTTGAACTCCCAAGCTCAAGCAATCCTCCCACCTCAGCCTCCCCAGTAGCTGGGATTACAGGTGCAGGCCACTGTGCCTACTTTTTAAAAACAAATTTGTAGAGATGGACTCCCCTCTGTTGCTCAGGCTGGTCTTGAACTTCTGGGTTCAAGCAATCCTCCTGCCTTGGCCTCCCAAAGTGCTGGTATTACAGGCATGATCCATCATCCTGGCTTTTTTTTTTTTTTTTCCCTCCAGTAAAGATAGAGTTTAATTTATGTGAGGCTGGCCACATGGAAGAAGTCGTTACTCAATTCAACCTCTACCACAGAAGATTTTAATAAAGAAATTTTTATTGTTACATGTGAAAAAGTTATTTTATTATGGTTCCTGTATAGATCTATCCTTTCTACAATATAAAGGAGTACACCTACTGGGTACAGATACCATATTCCTGCAGATGGTCAACATGCTGGTACATATACAGTTATTCCTTGGTGTCCGTGGGGGATTGGTTACTGGAGGCCTCTCCCATACTAACATCCACAGCTGCTGAAATCCGTTATATAAAATGGTGTAGTATTTGCATATAGCCTATGCACATCATCTTGTATACTTTAATCTCTAGCTTACTTGTAATACCTAATACTGTGTAAATGTTATATAAATAGTTGTTACACTGTATTATTTTTATTTCTGTATTATTATTTTTTTAAAAAATATTTTTCACTCATACTTGGTTGAATCCAGGGATGTGGAACCCAATAAGATGGAGGGCCGATTATATATATATGCATAAAAAATACATTCTGCAAAATCACACCCACCAAAATAACAGGGATATGGGGAAACTAGGGTTTGGGAAAACCATTGAAAAGTCTGTTTACCTTTAAAACCACAATACTATCTAAAATAATAATGATTAACTTAGGAGATAATGGAAATAGCTGGGTAGGCATCTTGGAGTGCTGCTTTAGAAGATATTAAAGCTGCACAAAAACAATAGAGTGTGAGACAATGCAGATGAAAGTGAAGTGGAGATTTGGGCCAGTGGGGCTTCCTTTAAGGAAGGCCCAGGAGGAAATGAAATTCCCACAATGAGAGAGTTATATAAGGCCAAGGATGCACCTTTCTGGGGTGGTAAGTACATCAGCCAAGCTAAGACGATTTTTTTTCTTTCCTGATAAATGATAGAATTCTACTACTTCTCTTTTGGCTCCCTTTGTTTAGGAAAAAGCACATATTTATTAACCAAACTTCAGTATCACTTTGACGTCATTCCTCTATTTACTAATTATATACGAGCTATTTGATGTTATATAAGCATTTCAAATGGAAGACAGATGTAGACAGTGTCTGATTTCAAGGGAGGTTTGAAATAACACACTCATTCCTCCTAACATTTCCAAACTTTTTGATCTCTTAACTTCTTTGGCTTAATTATTACATGATGGTGAACCAGAGGAGTCACTCTCCCTCTCAAGGGAGGAGATCCCTAGTCTGTTAGGACCTCTATGAGGGATCCATTCCAATAATCATACCCTCGTTCTTTGTCATAATGAGTACTGTTAAATTTACCCTAGTGGTTCTGAAATGAGTTAGAATACTACATTAATTAAATTGACTCCAAGATCATTCTAGACATACTGAATGTTCACTTCCTATTTCATTTCCTACCCCAAATTATGCCCAGCAATACTGTCCAAAATAATTGT